TGGGCTTGGGTCGTTGGGTTTTTTTGTGAACCTGTTTATAAAAGTCAGTGTCATGACTGTGGGTTTTGGCCTCTATGGGTATGACTCACCAGGGTCTGTTAGAGCAGAAGCAGCTTGAGCTGCCTCCCAGTCTGGGTTTAGCAGGACGACCCTTGCCAGCGGGACTCGGCAAACTCAATCCCTGGGACTCTGAGCCTGCTTATACTAGTGAGATGCCCACCAGCCTTCCAGCAGCTCTACATTAATAGCCCTGTTGCTTCATAGAAAGCAATGGAAGGGGATGAAAGGAGAGGACAGACACACATCCTCCTCACCTCTTACACTTGTAACTGGAGGGCTGCCGGCCAGGGTGTGAAAAGATTAGCATCAAGGCAGGCTCTATTGACCAGGAGATTTGGGAAGAGCAGGTGGGAGTCCCTCATCCACTGAGGACCACAGCATGGCTGCTGCTGTGATATTCTGGCTGCATGGCTTAGGCTTGCGTGGCAATCCACCTACTCTCCTCAATGAGCACAGAAATGGTGGACAAACCATGGGAATAAAACACACATCATCTTGTGGGTGAGGTACTAGTTAGCTTTTAACCACTACTTACTTATTTTTAGTGGAAGATATGACAGAAATAGCTTGGATTTCCAGTTTACCTGTGGTGGTAAAAAAACAAACAGCAGCATTACCAAAGATCTTTAAATAGGACATTTTGGACTTGCATGAAAAGAAGCTCAGAAATTTATCCTGTGGGAGGCTAATAGTCCCAGAGCTCATAGGAGTAACTTGCTAGACAGCCAACAAACAATACTGTTTTTCAAGGCAGGGACCCAGCAAGGGCAACCTGCAGTGTCTGTACTGGCCTACGGCAATGGGAAGGTGGAGCTCCATCGCCTCAGGAGAGACCTGTCTACACGCCTGTGGAGCCAGCCAACACCTTCATTTTGAGTAGAAAAAAAATAATATTAGAAATCTCATCCCCATAACTAAGGGGACATTTTCAGAATACCTTTTCTGTGCCCCAGCAGGAGCAGCTGGTACCTGTTCGTTCCAAAAATCACCATGCCCATATCTGCAAGTTCAGCCAAAGCACTGTGATAGCCCAGGGGGTCACACTTGCCTTGCAGCCTCTGGAGAGGGAGATGCAGCAAGCAGAGACCTGTAGCTGCGCCTGAAATTTCTGTTTCTAATAAACTTTACAAATGGTTCCCATCTGTGTGGTCTGTCTCTCTGCCATCTTTAAATATTTATATCAATGTATCTATGGTGATAGGTTAGGTTATATAAGGGGGGGGAGTATGGGGAGCAGTGGGGAAGGACAGCATCAGCTCCTGCTAGAGCTAAGGCCAAGGGAGAGCAAACCTGAGCGGGTTTCCCATCCACACAGACACTCTCTCTTCTCAGATCGTGAGCCCAGAAAGTGAACATTCATTTTTCTCAGGGCATCAGGGAGGGCCGGGCCACAGCTGGGCTGAGCTTCGCTTTGCAAGGTGCCATGTGGAAGAGCAAGAGCCCAGCCCATCGATGCAGAGAGCTCTTATTGTATAATCAATGTATAATTCATTAGTAGGTGAATAAAGAATGGAATAGCCTATTGCTGATGCAATGGGGCTAAAAAGAAAGCAAGCACGTCCATGAGCAAGCTGCTACACACGGGGGTTAAACAATACCACTTAGTGACGCTGACAGGCAAGAGCGGAGATTTTGTCTTGGGATAATATAAACAACCCAGCTAGCAGGCTTCCAGTAACTCCAGGGAGAGCAATGCAGGGATATGCATCTTTCTGCAAAAATGCTGGGAAGGACCTTTCCTTTTTTCTTGCTGGGTTTTAAGGGAATAGCATCTAGAAAACAGCAGGGCAGCAGCTGTTGGTCAGGACCTCCAGGCTTGTCTGAAATTATTTCTCCCAAGATGTGCCAATTCCTCACAAACTGAGAAACCACCATGTATTTCTTCCAGATAAAGAGATGGCTTTTTCTCCTTGACCCTCCTGGCAGGGGTAGAGGTAGATATGCAGTTTGCCTCCAGGCATAAATTTGTTTGATGGCCCCCCAGAATGCCAGGTGACTTAAGGTAGCAATTACTATGTGCTGGGGGTGAGAGGGCCAGCACAGCAGGAAGCAGAGCAGCTTCACCAGCAGGCCTGCAATTGGTCATGGGTTTGGCAGCTACAGCCAAAAGCTGCATAACACACACAGCCTGTGTTTTTCCAAAATAGCCTCCGAGACTGCTCTGGAGCTCCTCCTGCTCAATCCTGTGCTCTCCCCCACTGTCCCACATGGTCTTACACCTCTCAGTGGACAGGGCTGATGTTTGCTGCCAGTTGCTCAGTCTCCCAGAAGACGAACTACACAGTTCAGAAAAAAATCACTTTTCAGCCCAAGACTGCATTTTACTAACAGAGAAAGCTGCAGTGACCCTCCATGTGAAAGTTGCAGGCCATGTGTGATCCAACCGTGTATTCACAGCAGCTTCTGACCTTACCTCCTTTCAGCTGTGCTGGCAGAGATCTGTGTGGGGCATCTTCCACCTATGGCTGCATTTCTAGAGGAGAATTATAGCCAGATGCTTTTGCAAATGCATTGCTTCTGCACCTGGTTAGAAAAACATATGTCTATCAACTATTACCTCCAAAAATATTTAGTGTGTCTTCAGCTCATAAACACAGCTTTCTTTACCTTGGCAGGATGTGGCTTCCTTACCACCCCAGCATGCAAAGGTCCACCCACATTTGCCAACTCTAAGGCTTTGGAAGGACTTGCTTAGCAGTGCCTCCTCTAGGAGCTTGCTGCAGGCATGAATCCAAGCTGCACAGCAAAGGGGCTGTTGCATGAGGAAGTTGTGTTTCGAGGGCAGTGGGAACTGGCAGACACAGTCAATAGAGCAGGAAATAGCAAACCGTTTTGTAGTTGAGACATCACACCACGAGACTGAAAGATTCTCACACTCACCAGCAAATCCCTCTAGAGACTCAGTATATTACTTAACCTGTGCTTTTCACAAGTGCTCCGAGTTCCTTGTTTTTTTTCTGAGTACTGAAAAACTTGATTTGCAGAAGCCCTGATCATCCTTGGCTGTTGTGCAAAGCTGCACACTGCCCACCTGCAGCTCTGCCTGAGCAATACATTGAAAAAGCATCATCCACTGCTGTCGGAGCAGATGCTGGGAAAGCTCATCTAGCTCATAAGCAAGCTATGGTCAGGCTACCCAGGAGCATGTGGCAAGCCCCACAGAAGGCCTCAGGGGAATTTGATGTTCATGTTAGCAGAGCAGGACCCGAGCAGTGCATGGGCAGCGAAGGGTGGAGAGCAGCACAGAAGGCTTCTTGCTGCTGCCACGGGCTGATGTTCCCTGGTCCCATAGGTTTATAGGTAGTGCCTCAGGTTTACAGGTACCTCCACAGGCCAGAGCAACCTGGCCTTAGGTTGCTCCCTCTTCCCATGTCCTCAGATGGAGCTGGAGGGTTGTCTAAAGCAAAAGGAAAAGGGTAACTCATGAGCCCAAGCTAGCACATACTCATAGAGAGGCCAAGCCACGATTGCCCAGATGACCTTAGTGGAAATAACTGATAATTGCTGCAGCTTAACTGACAATTAGCTGAAGCCAATTCACAATTAATATTTAACTTTGCATCTTTGTTTTGTACTTTTTTTTTCTCCTGCATATGCCTACATAAATAGGATTTCTTTCCCATCAAAGTGTATGTTGACATACTTTATGACAAGCAGCTTCCGCCAGAGCAAGCCCCAGGAAGGCTCACTGCTCTGCAGGTGTTTCCTAGCCTGTCTGCCAGCTTGCATCCCTAGTGCTCAGCTCCATGCTCTTCTCCCAACAAAATCTCTCTCTTGCTCTTCTCAACACTGTGTAAATCTTGGCACTGCTTATCAATAAGTTCCCAGGATTTTGCTCTGGTTGCACAAGAGCTGTATTTCGCCCCCAGCGAGCAGCAAATTAAGGACATCATAGGACAGGGACTTTTTGTGGGCAGAGGTGTAAAAATACTGTTTAACGCTCATCCACCTCGCAGGTTCCGTCCAGCCATCTCTGCGTGCTGCCACTTCTACAACTGTGAAACAAATGTTAACGCTGCACATTTCTGTAATGGGTTTCTAAAATTCAAGGAGTTGAACATATCTGCTTTTCTGCTCCTGAAAATTACAGCAGGATGTCATTGCAGGGTGGCAGGAATCCCTGCTGCTACACACAATATAAGCTCTGGGAGAAGAGCGTCTCCAGCTGGGCATGGCTCTGTCACCTGCTCATTGAAGGTGCTCCTCCTTGCAGGGGAACTCCAGTGAAACGGGAATAAAGCTCATGAGATGGCCAATGGCCATCATATATATGCTACTCCTGTCCTATCCCTTTACATTAGAAACTGACCTGGGAAGGTGGAGCATCTCAAGCTTTAGCAATACAGGTGCTGAAGCTTTAACAGAGATCTTTTCTATCAGATAAGGCTTGAGCAGGTAACCCACACCAATAACATTGACTCCACCAATTTGTTCATCTACAATGTTTTTTGATATGGCAGAATATCAGCAGTTAAAATAGCCAATGCAGAGCAGTGGGCAAGACCTGACTACCTAGCCTTTAAAAAAGTGAAACCATAGAGATTTCTTCCATATAAATACTCTGATCTTTATAGCTTAAACATGTCCTTAAGCTTTTTTCCTCCCTCTGGTTGCATTACTCCCCGAGAGGTACCTGCCTGCTGCCCCATCATCCAGCTAAGAGTAGGATGAGGCTGATGAGCTGCTGCTTTTCCTCCAAAGGACCAACACCATCCTCTCCTCCACCTCCAGCATGCTGCTGGGACAGGCGAGCACCAGCTGCCTGGGGAATATTTCTTCCCAGCACTGAAAAAATTACTGAGTGCCCTCCATGATGCAAACCACCGAGCAATGCAGACAGCCTCATACACGGCAGAAAAAGAGAAGGAATGAAGGCCTTTCCCAAGAAATTCATCTTTATTTAAGCAACCATGGGTCACATGAGCTGCCAGCTGGCCTGAGGAATAACAGTAGCAGTGGGTGGACAGTAGCAGTTGGAGCTCACAAGGGAGATTGTCTCTTTCCAGAGATGAAGATACATGATAGTGCATATACAAGTGAATATTTTCTCACCACTAGAAAGTGAGTATGCTGTCAAGTGCATATCACCCCTAAATCCCTGCCAGACTTAGGTGTGTTGGTGACTGCCAGGAGGTAGCTTGAGTACTACACTGGAGCAGTTTGAACTGGATCCTGCTTCCAGTGAAGTCAATGGTGAAGCTCCACTGGTCTCAAGGGAGTGGGATGAGAAGCGATAGCCCTCCCTTACCCCTTCACAATGCAATTCTTTCTAACACAAGGCATTTGCAGGCATGTTAAAATGCCAGCCAAGTGCTGTAGGCTGTACTGCTGTTCTTGCCTGTGTAGCAGCCCCTGCCTGAGGGACAGGACCTGTCCTGAACATCAGCATGGGGGTTTCCATGTTTATCTCAATAAACAATTGCTACTTATCATTTTTCACAGCTAAAAGCCACTACATAGGAGAGGAGTGAAAGGCGTTGTTGGTTCAACAGACATTTCATGCATCCATATAACTTACAGCAGGTGCTACATCCATTGCAATGATGGGTTTCAGCTCAGAAGCAGCTCTGCCTCCTCACAAGGGCAAAGCATGCCCAAGCATGACAGTTTTTTTCAGCTAGGCTGACAGCCTTTTTAAAGTTCTGTTTATTTTTGATAAGGTGGTGCAAAGGGGATGTGGAGTTGGACTTTGTAGCTTTTGACCTGGCTGGAGATCAGTCCTGTTCTCTTATAGATTTAAACTTCTGTGTGTATGTGTAATATCAAAGTCCTTTGGCACACAGCAGCACAGTGGGTTAGTGAAGCCAAATAAAACAGAGCTGGGGCTGGAAGTTGAACAAGCCCCTGTGAACTGTGATATCAAGCTCGAGGAGGTTGACTAAATCCTAAGAATTAAAAAACAATGTTATACTGGATTAGTAAGGAAGAATAACAGAGGAATGTGTCCTTGTGCTGGTCAGTTGTTTCAAAGCTCATGCACTACTTTCTGATTTTTCTCCTGATCTCTGGCAATGTTTAAAAACAGAGGAAAAACAGCTGACAGTCATTGGATACCTACGTACTCCAGTGTGATCAGAAATGTGTCCAAAGTCAATCCTTGTGAGTGACCAGTCTGGGAGAGCACATTTCCCATCAGTGATGACACACTTTGTGTCCATTTATTTACTGATTGCACAAGATTGATCCTGGGCTGCGATCCAAAACCATCGTCCTAAAAACATTGCATCTTTGGAGGTCACAAGAAACTGCTCAGATGACTGTGATTTTTGCTGGTCTTCTCCCTCCATTTTTGTCCTAGGGGTCTCTTCGTATCCTACTTGTGGAGCTATGGCCTGTACATCTCCCGGTAAGGGAATCTGCATCTCTGAGCCCAGGTGCCTTGTTTGTTTGAGGCAAAGATGTGAGACTTCTCCTCAGAGCATCATCCCCTCTGACCAGCTTGGAAATGCAGGACAGCTAGTAGTGCAAGAAAGGGAAACGTGGGACACATGTCCCACCATCTGACCCCTGCAATACCTCCCCAGGGGATTTTGTAAGTGAATTCAGACGTTTTCCTGTGTTAAGAGCTGGCTCTACCTGGTAGGGATGCCCAGGCATCGGGTTTCTACCTCTCTCGCAGGATGTATTTGCCTTTCCGGTCCAGATTGCTGCTGAAGTGGATGGAGAACCAGAGGAATGAAGTTAGGATCATTCCATAAACCTAAAAGGAAATAAATGAGACAGGCATACAACTAAATGGATAACTGATTATGATCCTCCATCTATGCAAATAAGTAATCATAGATGTTGCATTTGGCCATTTGGCACTTCTGAATTATGTATCAGGGTGTCACATTTTTCTTAAGAGAGCTGTTTTTCAGTGATGTGGTGAACACCAATTCTGACATGGGAGAAAAAAAAAGGCAACATGTAGTTAAAACATCTGACTGGAATTAGCACAGCACAGCTCAAACCCAGCCCTAAAAATACCAAGAAATAAGATGAAACCAGGAAATTCATATTTCAAATTCCTGCCACAAAACATTCCTCTTTGCAAACAAACATGTCTCTCTCATAATAATAGCCTTTTGTAAAGATATCATGGGGGAAAAAAGCCCCACCCATGTATTGTTTGGAGTAAAAAACTAACAAAACAAACAAACAAACACCTAAACCAACTCCAAACCCCACCTCACAAACCTGCGTAGTTACGAATACAGAGGAGAGCGTACTTCCTCTATATTGTGATATTCTGCCTGATATATCACACACCAGGATTTACACAGGCAACATATCAAAGGTAAGGCTTCTGTGGGAAGGATAACAAGGGCTTTAACAACATACTCTTTCCTAAAGTATGCCCTAATCTTCAAGTGCCTTTGCTTGCAGCTTGATCTGGGGACGTGTGCATTGTTGGATGAGGGACAGTGACATCAGAGCAGCTATAGCCCTCTTCACATGCTTCCTTTGCATCCTGCCATCACAATAGTGAACTGTGCAGTGAAGTTTCCTCTAGCACAAGCTTCAAAGACAGCCGCCTTATCTGGTTATGGCATCAAGCTGCGAAAAAAGGATACATATAACAAAAATGCTCCAGCTTTTATCTGAATATAGCTGCAGTGAAATTTTCCCTATAGCTGAGAAAAATTGGAAAGTGACATCAAATATTCACACGTGACTTTACATTTATAGCTCCATAGCAATGCCTGATGGTTTGCCTAATTTACTGCTAGCAGTATAAAATTAAAAAGTGTTTATTACTCCGTTTTTTTTTAAGATGGACAGGAATTTTCTAACCCATAATTGCGCCAAGGTGGACACAAGATGTAAAACAGTCTTCAAGTACACTTTCAGTCAGGAAAGGTCATCCCAGCTGGGGATCAGCATGGAGATATCATAGCAGACCAAACCTCCCTTTGCGGTGAAAAAATGAGTCTCCTGGCACATTCTCTTTTCTGTTGTGCAACACCACACGTGCAGAGTGCTTGTGTAGAGGTAATTACAGTGATCCACCTCTGCCAAGCAGTGGGTGGGCATATAAGCAGGCTGTCTTTAATTAGTGACCCTCTCCAGCTCCAAAGAGACCACCTCCATGCAGCCACTGAGCTCCCCCATCACTGAAAGACATGCTCCTCTTGCAGCATTTCATTTTTCCTTTTGTCCTCCTCCAAATAATACTCACAAATTCCGTGCACATCCTTTACACACAAGCCATCCTCTGAAGATTATTTAACCCCTCCTCTGCAAGATTCTCCTTCAAAGACAGAACCTGGGAGCCCAGACAACATGCTCTGCTCCTTTCCTTTGCAGCCTGCTCCTTTCAAGCCCATGATTTACCCACTCACTGCCTGAGATGAACCTTACTGGGTTTGTTAGCTGTCATTATTAGAATGAGACCTTCCCTTTCTGCACAGCTCTCCAACTCCACTGCTGGTGCTCAGTAGCTTTCAGGACCTTCCAGCTCTAGCTGCACCAGCGACTTCCCAGGCTGAGCTAGGAAGCAGCAAGTTGCCTAAAATATGGAGCTTTTACTGCATCTCCTTTTCTACCACTGCTGCTGGCTTCCCACTTGGTCTGCAAGCCCCAAGCCAGGTGACATGACCTCTCGCTCGCAGGTGAAGATACACAGGCAAGCCTGAGTGGATGAAATGCAACTGCTGCTGCATCCTGCTCCCCAGTGCCAGCTGCTGTGCCTCATTTGGGCAGCAGAACTGTGCAATGAGCCTATTCCTGCAGGAAAACCACTCCATCAATTAGCCTGGCCAAGACAGGTCCTGGCCCTTTCCTAATTTCCATAGTGGAGTCCACAACTTCTTGTTTCTCTGCTGCTGGTCTCCAGAATCACCCAAAATCTTAGCTTTTGGGGGCTAAATTAGGACAGCTTTCCCCACTGGGGCCTGCCTTTCAGGGACCAAAATGCAAAAGGACAGACAGTGTTACCGTGAAGCCAATGGCGATGCCCAGGAGCGAGAAGACGAAGTCCATGTGCTTCTTCAGAAAGTCCTGGATCTCTTGCAGGCAGTCCTGGGAAGAGACAGACACCCCTTGCAGCACATCAGCAGCTTGGTGGGTAACTTCGGACCAACACCACTTGCCACAACCCCAGACAGGGAGGCAAGAGAGGGGCACAGCATTGCACAGCTGGGAATCTCTCCCTTTTTCTACTGCTGCTGCTGCAGCTTGGCAAGACAAACACCTGTGGTACATTTTTTATTACTACAACATGCCTATGACTTTCTTGGTGTGATGCATTTTGGACTGTGGAGGATGTGCGTGTAAGTGTGGTCATGAAAAAGCTTTTTTCTTTTCATTGACTGGAAAATGGAAAGAGGGAAATGGAAAGATGGAAAAGCAGAGCACACCATGATGCTAAATGCATTCCCCAAGGTTATTAATGAATAGCTCAATTTTGCGAGGTGCTGCAAGCATTCGTATACATTAGTCTTAAGCATGCCGGTGACCCTACAAAAATCCAGGAGGTGTTAGCCAAGAGAGCCATTTCAGAAATGCAAAAGTCTGCCCTCGATGAAGCGATTTGCAGAGCGACGTAAGAGTGCCCAAAGCCAGTAGTGAATGTAGTGCAGCCACCAAACTCTGTGGTTTCCTGTGTTACAAAGCACATCCTCCCACCCACTTCCCCAGCTCCGAGGCAAGGGAAACACAAACAACTAGGTAGGAGGGATGGAGTCACCCATACGGTGACCAGCTTTGTTCTGTTCTCCCTTCCTGCTCTTTGAGCCAAGATCAACCCTGCCTGGAGATGTGACGTTCCCAGAAGCAATGCTTTAAAACACTGCCCTGTGGACTGATGTGCCTGCACATCACAGTGTCCTGTTAGAGCTTGACATCTTCATCTGACATCTTCATCAAACAATGTGTTTGTATTGCTGTAGCGACACGGTTTTATTTTTCCTAGAGATGGCACATACTGATGCTGGTGGTGTTAGATACTTCAGCTACTAGTATTTGGCTACTCCAGCGAAAGAAAAATAATTGTAAAATAGGTTCACTCAGACAGTATGAAGTCTAGATTGTGGCTTCAGTGCAGAACAATCTATTACTGGTGGCTTCTCCTTCAGCCTCACCGAGATACTGCAAAAGAGGACGAATGAAGTGCGCTTGATGAAGCTACTGCTGGGTATCATCATCCTGCTTCATGAGTTTCTCATTTTATTAACTACTTAATGCCCCAGGAAAAAGGAATAACATAAAATTCCACATTGGCTGTTAGTAGAACACATTTTAAACCTCAGAAACTAGTGTCACATAGAAAAGCCAAAGAATTTTTTTGTGCTCAGACACATGCCCGTGATATCTCACACTATCTGTATGAGGGAAGTGACAGGCTGCAAACACAAGCATTTTGGAGGCTTTCTAGGACTGCAAAGGAAACTGCATCTGCGAGTGTATGACTCGCCCCACCGGGGCTCCTCCTCCTAATTCTCAGAATTGTACAATCATAGAATAGTTCGGGTTGGAAGGGACACTAAAGATCATCTAGTTTCAACCTTCCTGCTATGGTCAGGAACACCTTTCACTAGACCAGGTTTCTCAGAACTTCATCTAGCCTAGCCTTGAAACCTCCAGGGACAGGGTATCCACAGCCTCTCTGAGCAACCTTTTCCAGTGCCTCATCACCCCTCGCAGTAAACAATTTTTTCCTAATATTTAATCTAAACCTAGTCTCAGTTTGAAGCCATTTCCTCTTGTCCTATCACTACATGCTCTTCTAAAAAGTCTCTCTCAATCCTTCTTGTAGGCTCTCTTCAGGTACTGGAGGGCCACAATTTGGTAACCTCTAAGCCACCTCTTTTCCAGGGCCGAACAAACACAGTTCTCTCAGCCTTTCCTTGTAGGAGAGGTGTTTCATCCCTCTAATCATCTTAGTGGCCTGCTCTGGACTCGACTCAAGAGGTTGATGTCCTTCCTGTGCTGGGGACCCCAGAGCTGGAGCAGCACTCCAGTACTGCATCCAGTGTTGTTATTGATACAGCAAAATCCCAACAAAACAAATCCCAACCCATTTCAACCCCAAACAATGAAAAAGCCACAATTCTCATTAACACTAACTCCAGAGAGGTTTTGACAGGTAGCAGGTAGTGGCACAACCACACTGTGGGGTGGGAGAAACTTTTACCTTACCTGTCCTGCATTGTGTGCCTGGCCGGGTGGGCATGTCTGGTGCTCAACGTTGTTTGTGTCCCCAAAAGGAGAGTGCTTCCCACAGCACAGGAACTGGAAGAGAGGGAGAAGTCTGCCAGTCACCTGCTGGGGCTCTCCCCTCGCCATCAGCTGCTGCAGCAATCAGGAGGTGTCAGCAATGGGCCACTTTTCCTCCCTGTTGCCCTAGGCAGGGCTACCCAGCGAGGGCAGCAAGGAACAAAGCACGTAGGTATGGAATCAACAGCTGCAGCTAAATTCAGAGGAGGTGGGTGGATTTGGCCCCAAACTTGCTCATGCTCCTCCAGGACTGCTGCCTGGGACTGAGGCCAAGGCCTCTCTCCGCAGTCATAACCAATGCTCACAGTGGCTGCTCTGGAAAACCCAGGGATGCACAGTCATGTTTCCAGTGATTGTTATGGGCTGGGGGGAACTCCAGCAACACCCACTGTGGAGCTGGTTTCCTGTAGCCATGGTGCACTGTCCAGTTTGGAGCTCTGGTAGAAGGAAAAAAATAATAGGAGGAGAAGGACTGTTTCTCCATCAATTAAAGTGTCTAAAATAAACAACTGGCGAAGCCTGTTTCTCCCTGGTTCTCTTTGTCAAGTGAGACTCTGGGCGTGCTGCTCCACGACCCTGAGAGCAAGCACCTCCACGCCTGGTCATGGCTCTGAGGGCCACCACGATCACTGCAATGAGAAACATTTGCCCTCCTCTGCATTCTGAGAAGCATGGAGAGAAGTGGCTTTGGAAAGTACTTGTTATGATGATTTAAAAAAACACAGAAGGATAAAGAGTTGCGTGGGAGGTGTCTGGAAACAGGCAAGCAGAGCTGACCTTCCCACCCAGACTTGCTGCGTACCATGAACTCACTACCCAAACAGGCCCTGCTGTGCAAGGGGGGTGGCATCTCCTGTACTCAGCAGGGACTCATGAGTTTCTCACCATGGGGGACATCCTCACTCATCTCCTTTGGCTTCAAGGGCAAGCATCCTCCCTGTGCTCTGGGTAACCACCCCTGCCCACCGACTGAGCTACAGAGAAGTCCCCTACGCCAACAGCATCCTAGGCAGTGTTTTTTGGGAGCTTGATATAAGTTTCCAGCTCTGTAAAAGGCCATGTAGCCTCCAGTACTCCTCAGCCATATACTCAGGGGTAAATAGAAATAACCAACTCCAAATAGTACTGCTAGACTATGTGGGATTCCTGCCCCTCCTCTCTACTTGACCAGGTATGCATCCACATTTTTGTACCACAGATAGGGAGCAGGGCAGAGGGCAGGCTGAGACAGACAACACATGTATCAGCTGCAGTGTGGAAGTTTTGTAGATCTTGCACCACAGTGATGCTCTGATAGGTGACCCTTTCCTCCTGTTGATAATTTGGTTGGTCAGACCTGGGAAAGGAAGAATAGGAAGGGAGGAGCAGACTCCACAGCAGGCTGGAGGACTTGGTTCCTGAGGGAAAATGGCATTGCAGCACCCACAAGGCAAAACACAGGTGTCAGTCCCAGCCTGCTGAAACTATCGGGAAGATATCCTAGGGCAAGGTTTTCTGCTGCGGCCGAAAGACAACTTACTGCTTTGTGGATGGCAGTCAACTCGTGCCTCCTGAAGCTGGAGGTGTTCCTCCTCACCTCCTCGTACACAAAATCATACACATCCATCATGCTGTCTTCTACCTGCAATGAAAGCAGAGATCTGTACATGCAAAACACTGATCACAGTCATCTCTGGAGGGAATTATGCTCTTCTTGAATTCCCCCAGAAGCTCTCCCAGGTATAGCAATACAAGCAGTGTAGCTATTAAATGACCCCCACCCAGCAGCAGGAGCTGGTGTATGACCCACTATGCACCAAGGGAGCTAGGACACGGTAAGTCCCATGAGAGAGTCGGTGGCACTGCGGGTGTATGACCTGCCATGCATGGACCCTTCAGCATCATGCTGGGGCCTCACTAGCTGTTTGATGGAGCTTTTGGCTAGTTTTGGATTTAGTGTCAGAGAAGAACTCAGGTACCTGTGACCAGTGTTCCTCTGAGTTCCTCTGGCAGGCAAGGATGATGCCATCTCCCTGTCCTGATGTGGGGACTGTGAGGACAGGCACACAAAACCGTGAGATGCTAAAATACAAAGGCGAGAGGACCTCAGGGGGCTGGTGTTATCCCAGTGACAGACCAGTTTTTCCAAACAGAGTCAAAAAAATAACAGGAGTGATTCAGTGGTGAGTCAGACCCTAAATATTTACCAAACGTGTAAGAACTTGCAGCTTGACAGATCCCAGCCAACTCCTGCTCGGGTGTCAAAGGAAAAAAAAAATATGACAATTGCTTTCACTGCCTGCAGTCAAAACCTTATTTCTTCCTTTCCTTTTCCCTTGCTTCTTCAGGAACACTGAGCCGAGTGGGCCTACAGGCAGTGCTTGGCTTTCAGGAGGGAAAATCAATGGGTGAAACAGGCATAGCAGGTGGCTGCATGGGGAAGGATGGGCACTCCAGGAACAGAGCCACCCCTCAGTAAGGCTTTGCACCTCAGACTTCTGAGCCAAGGAAAATATCCTCTGTAGAAAAATGTGGGACATTGAGCTGTTCTACACAGGTAAGGAGAGAAGATCTTCATTTTGTTCCCTCTGTGTATCAGAGTGCATCAAGTGGGATGGGTGCAGCAATAAGACAAGATCTCTAGCAGACTTATGCATCAACCTTCCCCCGAGAAAACCTTAAAACCCAATACAAAAGAAAACATCCAAGCTTTTCTAACTTCTTGTGGCCATGAAATAGCTTTCCAGTAGCTGCAATTAGATAAATGGATTCAATAAAAAGAATGTCCATTTCCACTGAAGAATTGGATTAAGAAAAATGAAAAAAGAATAATCTTTTGACCTCCTCTTGTGGAGGAAGGAAGAACAAAGCAGCTGGCTTCTTAAGCCAAGAGATTATTACCTTTTGAATATCACAACTCCAGTCTGATATCAGGAATAAAAACTATTTTGTGCTGTGATAACATACATATGGGTTTTGGCAAAGTAACAGTGCTGCATGTGCAATTTCTGCCTTTTAATATTTATCATTAGACTCAGGATGCTGAGCTTTCCTCCAAAAGACCTAGATTTGGATGACTTAAAAGAAAAAAAAAGTTAAAAAAGGGTTCAAGTAAATTAGTTTCTAGGTTCAAGCAAGAGTTCAAGGGTTAAAAGCTATCCAGAAGTTTAACTGCTTCTAAAGGTCTCTTGAAGTCTGGGACAGGAAAAGTTTGGACAGGTAGTTTTAAGTCCTCTGCCTTGGCTGGGCACATTCCCCAAAATCTCATGAAAAATGTCAAAAAAAGTTGCGTTCACTACAGTGAGCTTTGGGCTGGGTCTTGCTGCTGGACTTTACAATTATATTCAACTTAAAACAAGGTAAGATGAGACTTTGTCCAGTGATGTTTCAACTACAAAGACCATCACAGACTCCCTGTAGGAGTAGCCTCTGACCATGCCACCAGAACAAATTCACTGTGCAGGAAATTCAATGTTCATTAGTACTCTGTGCTGATAATAAACCTCAGAAACCAACTGAGGCTGATGTCCTCCTCAGCAGCCCCTCTGGTGGTCACGCTGCACTGAGTAACCTGTGAGGAGGGCAGGAGTTCTGCCCAGATGCTGACAGCTGCTGGCTGCTGCCTGTGGCAGCTGCCAAACTGGTGAGCTCCTGCCAGCTTCATGAAACCCTGAGAGGATCAGTTTGATCAGGAGAGGTGCTGCCTGATACAGTGGTGCACGTTTGCACCTTCCTTATTATTTCAGGTACCATACAATGATGTCAAACGTTGAGACTGAGACTGTTTGAAGGATGAGAGTGGTTAGGAAAGAACTGAAGGAACAAGATGCCCATAATAAAATCATGGCAGAAAATTAATTCAATTGCTGGAAACAATAATGGAAGAAACCACAAGCAGTGTCAACATTTCACAGCCCTTTCAACTACTGTGATGGTGATGATGATGGTAATCTCCAAGTACATAATAACTGCTAAAGACTTCAATTGCACCATTTCTGAGCTCACTTGTGAACTGACTTCTCAGTTATCTACTTTTTTTTTTTATTTTCATTTTGTCAAGCAGCCTCCAAAACTTGAAACACAAGGGATTAAATGAAAAATATATAATAGCAATAACTTCCTCTTAGAATGTGTGTCTGGGCAAGCCTAAGAGTACAATTTGCTGATTAGTCATTCTCAGCATTTTTATCTAGCAATTATATCTAGCATTTATATCCAGAGATTATCTGAATTTGCTATTCAGATCCTAGTAAGGAAATATCAAATTATAAAACCATTTTTTAAAGAGCAAATTGCTTGTAGCTCCTCCACATCATCTTTTTGATTTTTGCTAGGATCATTTGATTTTGGAGGGAAAACCTGCTGTTTTTATACAACGCAATGGTTTGTTTTCTCGTGTAAATATTTCAGAGGTAGGTACATAGTACTAAATCTCAGTATTCATCATTGGCTGCTTCCTTCTCTGCAGAAAACAGCATAGAGAGGTCTGGTTTAATAAGAGAAGACTTACAAGTTCAAAACATTGCACTTTGCTGCCTAGGATGGGGTTATGTTTATACTCAGAGCCACAGCCAAGGTCTGAAACACCAGTAGTGCATGGCAGCATCTATCCAGCCCAAAATGTTGTGCTAACTCAAGCATGCCTGATGATGTAAAAAATAAAACCTGAAAGCGTAAGACAGTCACCAGGTGGTTTCATGACCTATCCTTATTTGCAACATTGATTCATCCAGCAGATGCAAGTTCATCCCTATATTTTCCTTTGATCCAGGACCCAACACAGTGAAGATCTAGACTGCAGCACTGTTTTGTAGCCTCAACTGCTGTCCTCAACAGATTCCACTGCACACTCCACTGACGGGCAACTTTGAGTCCATTGCCTCAAGATAATTTTCTTTTTCTGTATCTTACACCAGGGGTTGGACAAAAAAAGAATAGTAAAAATAATCAGGATGCTTTTTCTCATGGTTAAGCAACAGGATGCCTTTTAAGTTCGAGTGCTTACTCTGATACTGTTAATAACATGCTTTAAGACAAACAGCTGTGCCCCATCCCTTAAACAGAACTTAGCATGTAATGGACCAATACAGCTGGAGAAGAGAAAGTCCATTTAGGCTTCCTTTTGAAAGGTCTTACACTTGTCTCACACATAAGTATCATTATGGTCAAGCGGATTTTCCTGTTCCTAGTGACATGCTGTGACCCATTGCTGGAAGAGTTCTGCTGGACAAGCTCTCCCTTGGAAGGAGACTGCACCTGCAACGCTGAAACGCCAAGAGCTGAAGATAAAGCATCAGCTGGGCTTAAGAAAAATCTCCAGGTTAAGTGATATGGAGGTCACACCTCACAGTAATTCTTTTCCTGGAAGAAGCTGTGTGAATGTTCCAGCTCTAAATTAGTTAAATAATCTCTGCCTCCCATTTCTGTCTGCATTCCTTAATGAAATATTCATTTAGGGATGATATTGATGGGTTGCTGGATACAACAAATGGAAAATCACCACTGAGATTGATGCTGCTGACTCCAACTGACTCAATAAGTAGCATTTTTCACTTAAAGTAAAAGAAAAAAGGAATTTTGACATTGTTTATCATCCTTTAAATCCTTTATCCCCCAAGAAGCAGAATTTATGGCTGCAGGAAGACATGTACTCTAAGCCATTAATGTTCTTGCCCTTGTCTGTTTAAAACTAAAGCAAATTTCGGTCTTACCTCCTTTAAGAGGAAAACTGACATTTTTTACTTAGGTTATTTATCAAGGATAATTTTTACCTAGAACTGGATTTGGAACAGAAACATGAGACAAGGTCTACCTTCAGTTCTCAATGCCTTTGCAAGCCAAAGGTGTTAATGAATCCCCATCCTGCTGCCAGTGAATACCCATGCCTAGGCAACCTGAGAGTGTTGCTTTGATGGAAACTAATGCAGACTTGTACCAAGAACAATGACCTGAATCTCAGTGAACCATCTTTGCAATTGCTGTTGGCCAAAAATCCCTCTACAAAGCAGAAGCTCGAGGAGAATATAGTGAAAGGAGATCTCAGGATTGTCTCAAAGATAAGCCCACCTTCCTCCCTTCTGATAAACAGGAACACTCCTGACATGGCTGAGAAGGAAGACAGCTCAAGAACAATAATAGCGAAAGGAGCTGTCAGAATTATCTCAAAGACAAGCCCACCTTCCTCCCCTCTGATAAACAGGAACACTCATGATGTAGCAGAGGAGGAAGACAAGCACAGGAAGAAGGAGGAGGATCCTCCGCTCCTGTGGGTCTTTGTGCCTTTGAGGTATCAAACCAATCACACGCAGTGCAGCCTCAGAAGAATCTGCAACCTCAGCACTTCATGTTCTTTCAGCACCACCAACAAGGATGTACTCACTGGCATCACTCAGAAGTGTCCCTTTAGTGGTGGCTGCCACAGACTCCTCCACTTAGCTATGAACTGCAAGTTAGTCAGTTAAGATGTGAAACTGGAATAAAGTGGTTAACTCACTCAAAATTCTTCCTTGTTCCAGTAAGAAAAACACTTCTGCATTTTGTTGTCTCTGCCTTTCCTTTCCTTCCTGGTGTGCAGAACTGCACGTGTTCACAGCATGTCAGAAACGGGGGGAGGCAGATGCAACAGCTTGGGTTTGGGCAAAG